CTGTGCTTCCTGGACTTGACTGACTATTTCCTTTCCCATATTTGGGAAGTTTTCAACTATAATCTCTTCAAATATTTTCTCACTCCCTTTCTTTTTCTCTTCTTCTTCTGGGACCCCTATCATTTGAATGTTGGTATGTTTAATGTTGTCCCAGAGGTCTCTGAGACTGTCCTCAATTCTTTTCATTCTTTTTTCTTTATTCTGCTCTGAGGTAGTTATTTCCACTATTTCACCTTCCAGGTCACTTATCCATTCTTCTGCCTCAGTTGTTCTGCTATTGATCCATTCTAGAGAATTTTTAATTTCATTTATTGTGTTATTCATCACTGTTTGCTTGCTCTTTAGTTCTTCTAGGTCCTTGTTAAACGTTTCTTGTATTTTCTCCATTCTATTTCCAAGATCGATAATTCCTGTGCGTGCACACAGGCTTCTTGGTGACTGCAGCAGCAGCCTTAGCGTCCCATGCCTGTCTCTGGGGTCTGCACTGATAGCCGCGGCTCACGCCCATCTCTGGAGCTCCTTTAAGTGGCACTCTTAATTCCCTCTCCTCACGCACCAGGAAACAAAGAGGCAAGAAAAGTTCTTGTAGGTCCTTGTTAAACATTTCTTGTATTTTCTCCATTCTATTTCCAAGATTTTGGATCATCTTTACTATCATAATTCTGAATTCTTTTTCAGGTAGACTGCCTATTTCCTCTTCTTTCATTAGGTCTGGTGGGTTTTTACCTTGCTCCTTCATCTGCTGTGTGTTTTTCTGTCTTCTCATTTTGTTTATCTTACTGTGTTTGGGGTCTCCTTTTTGCAGGCTGCAGGTCCGTAGTTCCCTTTGTTTTTGGTGTCTGTCCCCAGTGGCTGAAGTTGGTTCAGTGGGTTTTGTCGGCTTCCTGGTGGAGGGGACTAGTGCTTGTGTTCTGGTGGATGAGGCTGGGTCTTGTCTTTCTGGTGTCACGTCTGATGGTGTGTTTTGGGGTGTCTGTGGCCTTACTATGATTTTAGGCAGCCTCTCTACTAATGGGTGGGGTTGTGTTCCTGTCTTGCTAGTTGTTTGTCATAGGGTGTCCAGCACTGGAGCTTGCTGGTCGTTGAGTGGAGCTGGGTCTTGGTGTTGATATGGAGATCTCTGGGAGATTTTCTCCATTTGATATTACATGGAGCTGAGAGGTCTCTAGTGGAACAATGTCCTGAAGTTGGCTCTCCCACCTCAGAGGCACAGCGCTGACGCCTGGCTGGAGCACCAAGAGCCTGTCCTCCACACGGCTCAGAATAAAAGGGAGAAAAAAAGAAAGAAAGAAGTTGATAAAATAAAATAATTAAAATAAATATTAAAAAAATTTTTTAAGTAATAAAAAAAAGAAAGAAAGAAGAGAACAACCAAACCAAAGAACAAATCCACCAATGATAACAAATGCTAAAAACTATACTAAAAAAACAAAACAAAACAAAAAACCGGACAGACAGAACCCTAGGACAAATGGTAAAAGCAAAGCTTTACAGACAAAATTACACACAGAAGCATACACATACACACTCACAAAAAAAGAAAAAGGGAAAAAAATATATGTATTGTTGCTCCCAAAGCCCACCTCCTCAATTTGGGATGATTCGTTGTCTATTCAGGTATTCCACAGATGCAGGGTACATCAAGTTGATTGTGGAGATTTAATCTGCTGCTCCTGAGGCTTCTGGGAGGGATTTCCCTTTCTCTTCTTTGTTTACACAGCTCCCAGGGTTCAGCTTTGGATTTGGCCCCGCCTCTGCGTGTAGGTTACCTGAGGGCGGCTCTTCTTCGCTCAGACAGGAGGGGGTTAAAGGAGCAGCTGATTTGGGGGCTCTGGCTCACTCAGGCCGGGGGTAGGGAGGGGTGCAGATGCGGGGCGAGCCTGCGGCGTCAGAGGCCGGTGTGACATTGCACCAGCCTGAGGCGCGCCATGCATTCTCCCGGGGAAGATGTCCCTGGATCCCGGGACACTGGCAGTGGCGGGCTGCACAGGCTCCTGGGAGGGGAGGTGTGGAGAGTGTCCTGTGCTAGCACACAGGCTTCTTGGTGGCAGCAGCAGCAGACTCAGCGTCTCATGCCCGTCTCTGGGGTCTGCGCTGATAGCCGCGGCTCGTGCCCGTCTCTGGAGCTCCTTTAAGCAGCGCTCTTAAACCCTTCCTTGCGCACCAGGAAACAAAGAGGGAAGAAAAAGTCTCTTGCGTGTTCGGCAGCTGCAGACCTTTTCCTGGACTCCCTCCCGGCTAGCCGTGGCGCACTAACCCCTTCAGGCTGTGTTCACGCCTCCAGTCCTCTCCCTGTGCTCCAACTGAAGCCCGAGCCTTAGCTCCCAGCCCCCGCCCGCCCTGGTGAGGGAGCAGACAAGCCTCTCGGGCTGGTGAGTGCTGGTTGGCACCGATCCTCTGTGCGGGAATCTCTCCACTTTGCCCTCCGCACCCCTGTTGCTGTGCTCTCCTCCACGGCTCCGAAGCTTCCCCCTTCCACCACGCCCGTCTTCGCCAGTGAAGGGGCTTCCTAGTGTGTGGAAACCTTTCCTCCTTCACAGCTGCCTCCCACTGGTGCAGGTCCCATCCCTATTCTTTTGTCTTTGTTTTTTCTTTTGCCCTGCCCAGGTACGTGGGGATTTTCTTGCCTTTTGGGAGGCCTGAGGTGTTCTGCCAGCGTTCAGTAGGTGTTCTGTAGGAGTTGTTCCACATGTAGATGTATTTCTGATGTATTTTTGGGGAGGAAGGTGATCTCCACGTCTTACTCTTCCGCCATCTTGAAGCCTTTTTATGTTCTTTTAAGAAATCTTTCCTTACATCAAGATCATGGAGTTACTCTATTATTATTATCTAGAAGTTTTTTAGAGTGCCACACATATATAGTAGAATGTGCCATTCCCCCTCCTTTTAAAGTATTGGATGTCAAAACACACCACACAAAATCCAGCAAGGTATGCTGGATATTCTTAAGGTATGAAAGAGATAAAACCAACAGGTCCTGGTTTCTAAATCATTTTAGAAAGTGAAGCTGTCCAGGATGATTTCAAAGATTTTGAATTAGATGACTAGGTTTTAAGAACCAAGATAGAAGATATACAAAAAGATGATTTCTTTATAAGGAGAAATAACTTACTAATTTTTATGTTTTGTGCTTGAATTGTTTTGGGGAATTTTGGATAGAGAAGTCTGATGATTAATTGGAAATAGAATTTCAAAGCTAAAGAGAAAACCAGGACTAGAGACAAAAAAATTAGGAAGTCATTGGTGTGTAAATAATATTGTTGATACTTGGAGAATTCCACTAAGAATGACTCAACACTTGAAAACAAGTGAATTAAGATACTAATAAGATATATTTTTAAATAAATGTAAATAAGATTAAATATGTGGAAAGACACCTTAACATAAAGGAAAAAATTCTAGCAGTAGTAGAATTGATAGTAAATAAGTGGATAAGTTGGCATATATGAGGAATAAAGTTGTCCATCAGAAATTGGATTAGTAAGTTACTGAAGCATAGAAATAACCATGAAACCAAATTCTGATAGCTCTCATTCTTCAAGGGCCTTAAAGTCAGTGTTCTAATTGGCTAATCCCTGGATCAGTTGGAATCACTCTTGGGTTTTTTGTCATATAGTGTGTTTTAGCCTTAAAACCTGAAGAACAGACCCTTGACCATGAAAAATGCACTGAAATAGTGTCATGTTAAACCATGTGTTGCTTTTTTTTTTTTGCGGTACGTGGGCCTCTCACTGTTGTGGCTTTTCCCGTTGCGGAGCACAGGCTCCGGACGCGCAGGCTCAGCAGCCATAGCTCACAGGCCCAGCTGCTCTGCGGCATATGGGATCTTCCCGGACTGTGGCACGAACCCATGCCCCCTGCATCGGCAGGTAGACTCTTAACCACTGCGCCACCAGGGAAGCCCATGTGCTGCTTTTTAAGAAGCACCATAGCTGTGTTTCCTGAGTAGTAAATGCTTGTATTGCTTTTGACCAGATAGAAGGTTCTGTTTTTTATAAACTTTCTATAGTTCATTTTTAAATCCTAAATATAACTAATGTGATTCCTTAGGAATAAAGTGAAAATAGGACAGAACTGGTGATATAAGTCTGAGAACTACTCTGAGGTGAGAACAAAAGAAAAGAATTCAGTGAAGATCTATAGAGAAATAAGAGAATGAATGAGAGAATCAGAGTAGAGAGAAATAATGGACATGAATGAAGAACATTGTTTGAAAAGGTAGTGATCAACAGTTTCAAAAGCTGCAATAGTGACAAATAAGACTAAGACTGAAAGTATGCAATAGACATTCAACTAGAATTATGGTCTTTTGGAAGTAAGCTAAAAGGCGATAATGATGGGTAATTGAATCTAAATTGAAAACTAACATATCAGAACTTCCATTTCACTTTCTTTAAGATTCTCTTATTTCATGCAATAAACTTATCACGGACTTTTTTTTTTTTTTTTTTACTAAAGCAATCATTGAAAGAGTACCGAAAATAGCTATTACCTTTTATTGAGCATCTCTTATATCTTGGGCACTGTTACACATTTTAGATGTATTATTTAGTCTTTAGCCCAATAAATTAAACATTATGTTTATCTATTTTACAGATGGGCAATTGGGAATTTAGAAAGTTTAATTCAAAAGTTACACACACAGTAGTTCTCTAGTCACTACAAATTGTTTGAGAAAATTAATATCCCTATCAGGATCTCTTCTGAACCTTCTTCACTCTTTTGTTAACAGGCATTATTTCCTCAAGAGGAAAAAACTCTAAAGAGAAGACAGAGAAGAATCTCAATTGGTGACACTTTTTTCAACCTCATTTACACCTCAATTTTGAAACGCTCTATAATATTTAGGAATTAACAAAAAGATTACATGATAGATGATAGAACCTACCTAAGTTTTTTATTTAAAAGTATTTGTTGTCCATGGAATCCAGCTAAAAGACTCTATCAGTTACTTAAACATCCCTGCAAGCCAACTGCTTTCAGAAAGACCTCTAGACTAGCACAAGTTGGTGCCACTAACATACTATGATCAACAGTTTGTGCCATTAGAACGCTGTTACCAACTGGCCACAAGCAGCTCATTAACACATCAACACACAGATGAAAAACAAAAGCAACCCGATAACCAATCTGTGGTCAAAGTAGAATCCCATAGTAATAACCCTGCAGTGCATCCCCTAAACTCTAACCAGAAGGTACAGAGATGCTCAATATTGCCCTCTGCCAAGTGTCAGGACACAATTTCACGGGACCTCTATAACAGGGCTCTGAAATCACCATTATCTCACTCCAAATATCAGGCCACACCTTCACTACACCTCCACCAGAGAACTCCCTGTGGCCTAATAAGAGAGGCTTGAGCTCACCGTTGTCCCACGCCAAACCTCAGATCACATCTTCACTTGACCTCACCAAGACATCATTGCCAGAGCCCAATCAAACAGCCTGGAGCTCACAATTACCCTTTCCCAATCCTCAGAATACATATTCCCTAGACCTTTGCTGGATATCACCTTCACTGAAGTCTAATCGAAGGGTCTCAAGTTCATCATTATATGCCCTCAAACATCAAGAAACTCCTTCCCCAGGCTACATATGGACGTTGTCATCTTTGGGACCTAATCAAAGAGCCTTTAGCTCAGCGTTACCCCAGTCCAAGCCTCAGAAAGCCTCTTCATTGGATAGCCTTTGACACTCTTTGTTAGAGCACCATCAAAGATGTTTGAGCTCACCATCACTCAACTCTACACCTCAAACACATGACTTGCTTCAGACATCACCTTCTTTGGATCCCAGTCAGATGACTCTGAGCTCATCGTTACCTGATTCCAGACCTCAGACAACACCTGTATTGAGCTCTAATTCCAGTGTTCTGAGATTAACGTTGTCCAGCTCAAAAGAAAGGAAATCACCTTTACCACATTCTATGCATCAGTCAAAGAGTTTGCCATTGTTCCAGCCCAAAACACTTGATCGTAACTTCAGGACCCTGAATTCACCAGTGTGTCACTCAAAATTTCAGAACACCACTTCACTAAGTGACAAACACAAGGCCACAGATCTTCCCTCACCCCATCCCAAACCAAATATCTCAGGTCCATCATTATTAAGCTCCAAACACTGCATCAGGAACATAGCTGCTTTAACATTGGGCTCCAGACTCCAGAGTAAAAGCAGTTTTGGTCTTTATGAAAAGACAGAACCAAATAAGGAAATTCGATGGACTTTAGGTTATATTCATCCCTGCATTATCAAAGGTGGAACGGTCCCTGATGATGTTGTAAATAAAATTGTCAATTCTCTCTCCAAGACCAGAATCCAGAGGGATCTCTGTAGGCAGATTCTCTTTTGAAGGATGAGGGGAAGGGCAAATCCTCATCCTGGACCCCGCCTTTCATCAAGTTATATGGTTTGTTTAGCTTGTGCTTCCTGCATAAAATCTCAGTGTAACCATCTTACAGGAAGGAAAGACCCTCGTGCTGCAACGCTATTTGTCAGCCCAGCACCTGAGACCACTCCTGAGGGAGAAATAGAGGTGAAACTAGTTTTTATCCTCTCCCTACCAGAGACTTCTTTTTCATTCCCTGTGAAAGAAAATCAGCCTGATGAAGTCCCTGAAGAAAACCTTGGAGGAATTGGGGAGATATCAAAATTTTTCCCTACATCTGAACCTGATATCACCAAGGAGGCTAATGTGAAGAAAACATGGCCGACAGTAGCCCCTGCAAACCAAGCTGTAAGCCAACAGCCCCAGGCTATAGACTGGCTGCTCTATGTTAAGGAAAGTAGTAACCCTCAGTCGCAGTCCCTACTCCCCTCATCTTCTTCCTCATCATCCTCTTCCTCTTCCACTACACCCCCTTTACCCCCTCCTCCTCTGAAAGAGGCTACCACATCTACCGCCTCAGGCTGTGTGTCCACTAAGGTACTTAGTTACCACCGGCTGCCTCCAGGGGTCTCCTGACTTGAGTTTATATGTAGTAAAAATCACCAGCCACTTCCTGCAAAACCATGTCCAAGTCAATCACCATCTCCCCAAACAAGGTCTATGAGGAATAGCACCACAGTAAAAAGGAGAAAGGGGCCAGAGATACTGTTCAAAATGTTCCAGACAAAGGTTCAAAATGAGAGAAATCTTGATTAAATTAACTTTTTTGTTTCTTTGAAGGCAATTGACCTCTTAGTTCTTTGACATTAGAGATTGATTTCCTATCATGCTTATTAAAATCTTAGTATTAACTAAGCGTGCCTCTATAACTCAGCCGATGAAGCAGCTAGCTGAGGGGAACTATTACTCTTAAGTCTATTTTCTACTTAAATAATAGACTATGATCTCCTAGAAGCCAAGTTGAATCCTATGTTTTTAACCAAATGCCTGGCTTACAGTAACCACTATAAAATAATTGTTAAGTGAATTAATAATAATTGGCCATAGACCAGAAACACCTCATTTGTCTTGCCCTGAACAGTATCTAACTCATTGTTATTCTCCTTCCTCATAAGATGGACAGAATCCTTAAACCAGTGTATGCTAATCCATTTCCCTACCTCTAAAGAAAATTCACATCATGTTCAACAGGTAAGAATATATATAGAAAGGAATCTTTTCAGTTATGTGTTCCTAGGGAAAATTCTTCTATGCTAAGATCCCACACTCTAAAATGCAATGGTTTACTCAACCTTAGTTAGCAAATCTCAGGAAAGAATAACTAACTGATGCAGACAACCCTACCTTATGCTGACTGTGCCAACATTTAAATTATGGGCTCTAAAGTCACTTGTTCATCACTTCTACCTATACAACATAAACGGGTTAATAAAAATGTTTAAAAATGTTTTTGTTCCACTGGGTCCACTAGTAGTGGGAAAAGGAGGGAACTGTCTTACCTACTACTTTAAGTGATTATCTCTAACCCCAAGGGCTAGAATTAGCTTCTCTTGCATGCACTGATGGCTCACACTTCTGCCTCTCCACTCCACATCTTTCTGAACACCAGCTTGCATATGGGGCTTTTCCAGTGGAACATTGCACAGGCACCTCAAACTCAATATGGTCAAACCAGAATTTATCATCTTTACATTTACAACTTGCATCTTTATATTATAGTCCTTTGCCCTCTGTGTTCCCTATTTCAGTGGATGTACCACCATCTGTCATGGAGTTTGACTGTTTTTCTTATTGCCTGCCCCTCTCCAGGCCCATGTGTTCCATGGCTTTATTGTCTCCAGAAGCCAGCTTTTTCCTTCAACCTCACTGCCACTATTCTAGTTGTGGTCACAGCATTTGTCAGCTAGATTACTCCTAAACATGTATTTTAACTTTTGAATGCATTTCTGAGACAAAATTTAATAATGCCATTTCATTGTTTATAACACTTTTATCATTGCCCACTGTTTTCTGGGAAAAGTCTAAATTCCTTTTATGACTGAATCATGATAATTTTTCAAAATTATTTTTAAAAAATTTTGCAGAAATCTTTTCAAAAAAGATTTCTTATTCTTCTCCAGTTTCAGCCACATTAATTTCTTTACAGTGTGAAGCAATCATCCTACACTTCTAAAACAACAATTCTGCTGTCCAGAAAGATCCATCCTTCTACACATTTTTGCTCTACAGGGCTCTATTTTGTCTTAACATCTTCTGGGAAGCCTTTTCCTGATCCACTTACAAAGAAAGAGTTTAGCTGGCCTTCTTATTACCATGAAACTCTGTTTTTACTCTTTATACTGCTCTTAACCATATTATAAAGCAATTATTTCTTGTCTGTCTTCACTCACTAGACTGAAAACTTCTTATTCACCATTCTATTTCTAGTTTTTATCTAGTCCTTGAAATAGAGTATATTCCCTGAAATATGTATTGATATTGATTAATGCTACTGAAGCTCTTCATCTGTTTAAAATTCTCTGAAATAAGTAATGCTTCATCTGTTTGCTTCTTTCCCATACTAGTATTGAATTGTTTTTTGTACTTTTTGTCTTGGTGAGAACATACATAAAAATGTTACTGATGACAGTAGTCATCCTTGTCTTATGTCTTATGTTAAAAGTGTTCCTTTCTAGTATTTCAGTATTTAATATGATGTAGGCTTATGCATAGCTGATCAGTGATGATGAAGAAGAACTTAGGTGTGTGATAATGTGTTTAAGGCTTTCTCTAACCTCTTTAGAAAACCCTTGACATGTGCTTAATTCACCCTGAATATCTCTTTTGATGACACACATCATCTGTATAATTACTTCTTTAATATGTTTTCTACTAGACTAAACTTCATGAGGGGAGGTCTTGTGTCTGACTTGTTTACCACTAACTTCTCAGGACCTAGTGATACCTGGCACATACTAAGTATTCAATAAATATTTATTGAATAAAATTAAACCAAGGAGTTCAACTGATTTTTATTTGTTGATGTAATTTACATGTTTAATTTTCCATTGTTTAGCTTATTTTCTAAACTTTATGCCTCATTTAAAAATTTTTCTTTATTTATTGGACTACGATTTAATTATTTTTAACTTCTCCATTGTATTGGCAGTTATTTATTTTGTTCTTAATTAGAACAGGTCTACTTTCAGAAAAAAAATTTTAAGAATTCGTTAACCATTATTTCCTAGTTTTTAAATTTGGAAATAAAATCGCATGAAACTTAATGGGAAAAATACACAGCAACGGCAAATATCCGACTCACTCTTCCAGCTTCTATTGATATACCAAGAGATTTCAAAATAGGGAACAATATGTGTTGTGCCAGAAAGGTCAAGAAATTTCTGCCAGTTCTTATACAGATGACAGCAGATTTCAGAAGGGCAGAAGGACTCAAAATTTACTGTATTTAAATAAAGAGATCAACTGAAAAGTAATAAAAAATGATTTAATTGTGTCTCATTAGTGCCTCTTCCCTTAAATGGAAAGGCCTGGACATGAAAACAGGCTACATAGGAATTGGGAAGTAGAAAGTAGATTCTCTAAATTGTCACATTTTTATCAAACCAATTGATATAAAATGGTATGACATATCTGGATGATAATTTGATAATAATATCAAAACCTTAATAATATACATAATCATTTTCCTTAGGATCATTTTCATTGGAATTTATTTTAAAGAAATTGTCATGACTATGTAGAATCATATAAACAAGTAGGCATTGTGTTTCTTTATAATAGTGAGGGATTGGAAAAAATCTTGTTCATTAACAGAAAAGTGTTTAAATACACCATGATCCATACATGTGATGCTTTTCCTAGTGAAAAAAAAATGTTATTTCTAACATTGCACCTACATTTATGTTAGGAATAGAAATACTGTCTTTAGGAAAATATCTTGAGAACCCTTGAGCATGGCTAGTGATCCTGAGCATGTTGAAAGAAGAAAGCGAAACAAAGAGGAGATAGATAAACTAATGCATTTAAGTTTCAAAAAGGAACTGCTCGATCAGAGACAGTGAAGAGAGAGAATTTATCATTTATGATTTAAGTGAAAACATACTCAGATTATAAAACATCACATGCAGTTTATATATGATTCCACCTTGGAAAACATTGAAATTTTGCATATATGTATCTGTGTGTACTTGTGTAAAATCTGTTTCATATGTATGAAAAAGGTGGAGTGACTGGAAGTAAACACCAAAATGTTGAATAAATGTGGTTATTATGGGACAATGGTTATAATGGAGTGTTTAGGAAATGGATAGATTTTTTTCATTTTCTTTTCTATATTTTCCAAATCTTCAATGAATATGAATTCCTTTTATAATCAACTTAAAACAAATGTTATGAAAATGAAAAAATGAAACATGTTGTCTCATCTATTTTAGATAAAATATGTAGCATACAATTTTGCTGTTCTGATCCTTTCTACTTATTGGTATCATTTGTGGCTTTGCTAATAATACATATAGAAAATATATATTTCTATGAGATATCTTCAGAAGAAATGCATTTCTATTGTTTTAAAGTCTTAAAATATTTTTTTAAAATTTCATATTCTCTACTTCAGTATTCATTGCCAGACTTATACCATTCTTTTATTTATTCATCCTTTTGTTTATTTTTATTATGAATTATTTTAACCCATAGGGAATAATAGTCGGGCTTCCCTGGTGGCACAGTGGTTGAGTCCGCCTGCCGATGCAGGGGACACGGGTTCGTGCCCTGGTCGGGGAAGATCCCACATGCCGCGGAGCGGCTGGGCCCGTGAGCCATGGCCGCTGAGCCTGCGCGTCCAGAGCCTGTGCTCAGCAACGGGAGAGGCCACAAGAGTGAGAGGCCCGCGAACCAAAAAAAAAAAAAAAAAAAAAAAGTCAATATATTTATGAAAGTCTTTTCACTACTACCCAGCTTTATCTAATCTTATTCTTTGGTTACATTTACTTCATGTGTTAAAGAAATGAAACATTATTGATACAAGTGCTAACACTTGTGTATATAATCATCCAGGATCCCAATCCTATCCTGCATTTTCTAGAAGTAAACACTGTCAAGAATTTGCTGTAGGTCATATTTATCTATTTTTTTAATAAATTTACTAAATATTTATGGAGCCATAGAAATCAATCCTTTTTGGATGTCTTAAAGCTTTGTACATATTTTATTATAATGTATTTTAACATTTTAAAATGTGTGTTTTGTTTGTTTGTTGTTTTGCGGTACACGGGCCTCTCACTGCTGTGGCCTCTCCCGCTGCGGAGCACAGGCTCTATATATGTGTATATTGTCTATATACACATACACACATATACATACATGTATATTATATAACTGCATAGTGTGGAGTTATTACAGTTTTTGGTTAATTTACATTTTTATCATTGCATACAGTGTTGCACTGACATTCTTTAAAAACTTTTTTTTTATTGAGGTATAATTGACCTACAACATTATATCAGTTTCAGGTGTAGAACATAACGATTTGATATTTAGCTATACTGCAAAATGATAACCACAGTAAGTCTAGTTAACTTCCATCCTCATACATAGTTACAAATTTTTGGTGTGAGTGTGTGATGAGAACATTTAAGACCTAGTCTCTTAGCAACTTTCAAATATGAAATACAGTATTGTTAACTATAGTCACCATACACATTCTTTTTCATGTCCTATTTTGCGCATGTGTGGGAAGTTCTCTAGAGTCATGCTAT